CGCAGCGGCCAGCGCGACGTACATCATGGTGCCGCCCACGACGACGGGCAGGCGGCCGCGCGCGTGGACGTCCGCCATGGCGGCGCGCGCGGCGCGGAAATAGTCGCCCGCGGAGAAGAGCGGCGCGGACGGGGCGACGATGTCCAGCAGATGGTGCGGGACGAGGCGGCGATCACGCGGCGAGGGCTTGTTTGAGGCCACGTTGAGCGAGCGGTACAGCTGGACCGAGTCGGCGGAGATCAGCTCGCCGTTCAGCGCTAGGCACAGCGCGAGCGCGGCTGACGACTTGCCGACGGCCGTCGGGCCCGTGAGGACCAGGACTTTGGGGCGCGGAGAGGGGCCCGCTCGCATCGCCAGCATCGAGGGCGAGAGGAAGGAGAGACGGCGCATAGGACGCGGGAGCCTTGGAGCGGAAGAAAAGGTTGCGAGTGAATTGTCGATAGGGCGTGTGGGAAGTTCCCACATTTACTCTACAGTAGCAGGGTTCCCAGTAGGAATTTAAACGTCGGCTGTTGCCGCTTCTTTCGCAATTCCATGTCAAATTCAAACTCCTTCGCCCCCCCCCCCTTTCCCTCTTCCTTCCCTTTCTTCCCCTCCTCCTCTCCATCTTCACCTTCACCTTCACCATGGACAGCTCGCCCACAACCCACCCGCAGATATCCACGGAGCGCACAGTGGCCGCTTTGACGTGGCTGCGCACGTTCCTCACCTCCTGCTCGACGCCGACACTCTCGTCAACGCTAGCAAGCGGTGTGGAGGCGACTGCGGACACGGTACTCTGCATCGAGGGGTTGCGGCAGACGATCGAATCCCGCACATCAGCTGTGCTCACCGGCAGCGCCGCGCTCTCGTTGCAGGCGACGCAGTGCGATGAGACTGGGCGTGAGTGGAGCGAAACCGGTGGCGACGTGCTCTCGTCGCAGCTGGACGGGGAGGCGGTGCGTGAAGCAGCGACGGTCGGCGAGATCGGTGCCGCGCTGGGGGTGCCGCTGGGGCGTGCGACGGACGCGGGGCTGCTGACGGCGCGGATGGGCTCCGAGGTGGAGCTGCTGCTGTCCGCGTCGGCGCGGAC